TGAGAGCGAGAGAGCTGCTTCAGCTGAAATACCGGAAGCAACATTCCAAGCAAACTGAACACAATTCAAACTGCACTGAAGATGTCCCCCTGAATGGAGACAAAACTTCTGCAACCTAATTACCAAGCCTGGAGATTAAACCAACAGCCCATACTCTATTCAATATATTTGAAACTGGTTGGTTTTATTGTTCCACTTTAACTTTACTTGAATCCTAAATATGAGCAGTTTGTGATTTGTTACACATAGCTCATGGTTACATATTTAGTATTACTATATAACTGAACGCTTCCTTGTATCAATTTTATTTTATTTCTTTGTGTTCCATCCATGTATCTAGACCAGTGGTGGCGAACCTATGGCACGTGTGCCAGAGGCGGCACTCAGAGCCCTCTCTGTGGGCACACATGCTGTTGCCCCAGCCTTGCCTCCTCCCATGACCCCCTCCTCACCAGCAGCCCCCCTGGAGGAGAGTCATCCCCCGAGTGTGGCCTGCGTGGAGCACCACAGCCAAGGACATGGCAGCCAGGTAATGTAGACAAGACTCTGCCCTCACACCCCATTGCACACAGTTGATGCTGCAGGGCGCGGGCAGAGGTCATGGTCACAATGGTGCTGCCTGGCTGCCTGGGCGATCTGCGGTGGGCCCTGGAGGTGGTGAGTGGCCCTGCGGGCAGGTGGGGTGGGCGCAGGGCAGGGGGTGGAGCAGGGGAGGGGCCAGTTTTGGGGCACTCGGTCTCTAAAAGTTCGCCATCACTGATCTAGACATTGGTTTGGTTGTTTGAAGGCTATGCTAACATAAAAACAAGATTGGATTGGAAGATACTGGTAAGTTATTATTCTGTTTCATTAGCCACATAGTACAGTTACATTTTGATCCTTACTCTTTCCATTCTTGATTTTCCAGTCTCCATCTTCAACAGCACATACTTGCATGTTCTGTTGGTTTCAAATTGAAACCAGCCATAAAGCTATTCAAATTCCTCTTGTTTTGCCTCAGTGGTTGGAGCATCAACTTTAGTAAGAATAATAAAGGGATGTCCACACACTTTAATTATATTATTGAATCATTGATACTATACCGAAGCACAGTACTCCATTATTATAGTCTTCCTATGAAAGCAGTGCCATCCCTTCTTTGTTTTTCATGTCCTGAGTAGTGAACAGCATAATCTTCTTATGGAAAGTGTTCAATTCCAATCCATTTCAATTTGATAATATCCAAAATGTCAATCTGTAATTGATCCATATCATCTTTCATTGTATTGAGTTTTCCTATGTCCATGCTACTTCTGACCATATTCCTACTGTAATTCTGTCTTTATAACTTTGGGTTGTCTTTTCTTGCATTGCAACATCAGCAGCTAGACATATGGAAGGCTTTCATCTGCATCCCAAACACCATTAGTTTTTTAAAGATCTACAATTCTTCCTCAGTGTTGAGTGCCCCCTGGTCTGAAGGGTCCGTCATCCAGCACCATATCAACAATTGCTGTATCTTGTTGATCAGAGTTGACTTTGTTGAAAAATATGCCATTATCTTCTTTTGCAAGTATGA